CTCGCGGATTCCGCCGCGCCCTGCATCACGCCCTCCCGTGCCATCCACTCACTGCCCACCATGTCCTCACGCTCCGCATCACCTCAGCATCGCCCGCGAACCTATTCTGACGAGGAGGAGGAGGAGGATAAGCGTGAGCCTAGACGCGCTCGTCGAGGCACATCCGAGGATGAGGAGGATGACGATGAGGACGAAGAGGATGATGAAGACGATGACGAGGAAGATGACGAGGAGGATGAGGAGGAGGATGAGACGAGGACGCGCAGCGGTGCGGGACATGAGAGGAGAAAAAAGAAGAAGAGACGCAAGGGAGGCAATAGGTTCTTGGACGACGAAGCAGAGGTGGACGATGATGAAGAGGATATGGATGAGGATGAGGCTGAACTGGCTCGCGAAGGTGAGGACGCATACATGCCACCCACGTGCTCTGCAGTACGCCGCACCGCTGACCCCATTCCCGCACTGCACGCCGCTCGAAGATGGCTTCATCGATCAAGATGACGACGAGGAAGGGGACGATGACCGCAGGAGGCAGACTGCAGCCGACAATCAGAGGCTAGATAGGACCAGACGTGAGGCGGAGGATCGCTCAGCCGAGGAGATCGCTGCGGGCTTGAATGAACGCTACAAACAGTCCAGATCGCAAAGGTCGGATTACAGTCAAGTACCGCAACGCATGCTCATGCCTTCCAGCAAGGATCCTCCCTTGTGGTCCGTCAAGTGCAAGGTAAGCCATCCGCGCACAACCAACTTGCACGAAGACCACAGCGACGCACCAACCATGCTGACGCGCGCTCTCGCTCTCTCCCCCAGGCGGGACGCGAGCGCGAAATCACGCTGACGATGATCCGCAAAGCTTTCTTGCGCGAAGAGCAAGGTCGACCTTTGGATATCCTGAGCACTTTTTACAAGGACAGCATCCCGCAGCGCTTGTACGTCGAAGCTTGGAGCGAGGAGGCCGTCGTAGAAGCTTGCAAAGAGATCGTCGGCGTATACGCCAGAGCGCCAGCTGCGCTGAAGCAAGTGCCGGTAGAAGAGATGGCCACTATGCTCCGCATTACCAAAGTGGTCAAGGAGCTCAAAGTCGGCAGCTGGGTGCGTTTCAAGAGAGGAAGATATACGGGAGACTTGGCGCAGGTCATTGAAACGCTCGAGGGCGGCCTCGAAGTTGGCGTCAAGTTCGTTCCGCGCATCGATCTCTCCCCCGTCGAGATGGGAGAGTTCATCGACAGCAAAGGTCGCAAGCGCAAAAAGGGCTCGGCTGGAAGCACCATGGTCAAGGATAGACCCGCGGCCAAGTTTTTCAATTACGACGAAATCTCTCGCCTGGTGCCTGCCAGGGACAGACCCTTGCGTACAGGCTCAGCATTCGTATTCAGAGGCAAGACGTACAGGAGCGGCTACTGCGAAGAAGATGTGAGAATTTCTGCAGTCATCACCGAGGACGTCAACCCAACACTGGATGAAGTGACGCGATTCCGAGGAGGCAGCGACGCTGCTGGGCTGGCCACGAACGCTGCCGAGCTTGATCTGCTGGTGGAGGCCACCCGAGCCAAAGCGGAGCAGCTGCTTCGACGTGGCGATCATGTAGAAGTGTTTGAAGGAGAACAAGCGGGCCTGGAGGGAATCGTCGAAACGGTGCACGGCGATGTCATCACCATCAAAGACACCACCGGCAATCTCGACCATCAGACCATCGAGGTGCCGGTGAAATATGTCAGGAAACGTTTTCAGCCCGGTGATCACATCAAGGTCATTGCAGGCAAGCATACCGACGAGACTGGCCTGGTTGTCAAGGTGGAAGACAATGTCACTATTTTTTTGTCCGATCTGGCGCTAGAGGAAGTCAGCGTGTTCACCAAGGATATACACGAGGCTGCCGAAGTGGGGAGCGGCGTCACCAATGTTGGAGGCTACAATCTGCACGATTTAGTGCAGCTCGATGCGCAGACTGCGGGTGTCATTTTCAAGATCGAAAAGGGCGGCTTTTCTGTGCTGGATCAATTGGGCCAGACAAGGTCGCTACTCGCTCATCAGATCACCATGAAGAGAGATTCGGGAAGAGCTGTCGCGCTCGATTCCGAGGGAAGTGAATTCAGAGCAGGGGACACGATGAAGGAGATAGATCAGGATGTGAGTGAGAAGCGTACCTCCGTGCTTTCTGCGGCCTGCTTACAGATTGGATCGACATTTATAGGAGCGCGACGGGCAGGTCTTGCACGTCTATCAATCCATGCTCATCTGGCTATTCAATCGCGACCTGCGCGAAAACGGCGGAGTCTTCCTGTCTCGAGCAAGAAAGCTCCGTCCAAAGGCTCCGCGTAGCTCGACCACCGGTCCAAAATTGGATCTATCCAAACAAAACCCAGCTCTGTCCATGGCATCTCCCAATACAGCTGGAGGAGGTGGTGGAGCCCTCTCGAGCTTTAGCAGGCCTGGCGGCAGGGACTTTTTGGCGGGCAAGACCGTTGCGATCACCAAGGGCGCCTACAAGACCTACAGGGGAATCATCAAGGACACCAACGGACCTATGGCTCGAGTCGAGCTTCATACTATGCCCAAAATTCTGACTATAGAATTGACCTCGCTCATCGAAAAAGAGTAAGTTTGCACGGAATGCCCATTGGCACACCC